GAAAGAAAGAAAGAAAGAAAGAAAGAAAGATAGGAGGAAAGAAAGAAAGAAAGAAAGAAAGAAAGAAAGAAAGGAGGAAAGAAAGGAGGAAAGAAAGAAAGAAAGAAAGAAAGAAAGAAAGAAAGAAAGAAAGGAGGAAAGATAGGAGGAAAGAAACACCCCCACCAAAAAAGAAAAAAAGACAAGGACAAAAACAACATCAAATAGATACAAACGAAAAACAAACACAGGGCAACAAGCGACAGTAAAGAGATAAAAGTGTCTTTGAGTCTGACTTTAAAAAACAGGTAGTATCTAGTACTTTGTTTCACTATCCTTCATTTAATTCAGTTTTGTAGATTTAAAAAAAATTAGAGCTCTGACTTGACTTTTAGGGTGGAGTTCTGATCACTGTTGTCTTTGTCTGGTCATTGGATAGGTGTAGCACCCCTTTCTACACTGTAAGGTTATTTAACTAAGAGGTTGGACCTCAGAATTTAACTTCCATCGCCAATACAATCCCTCCAAATGTGCAAAGAGCCCTAAAAACTCCGTAAAACAATCTGTTTGGATACGAGCCAAGGCCATCCGCTCTGTAATCCAGGATGATACCCTCACGGGGAGCACGTTCTGAGTCCGATGCAACCTGTTCAGTCTATTGAGACAAAATATGTTAGTTTAGTTTTAGTAGAAGTTTAACGGCGCTCGCAACTGCATAAGGTCATATGAGCGCCAGAAGATTAGAGGTGTTACAAGAGAGTAACAAACATAAAAAAGAAGTAGGGGAGATAAGGACGATAGATGTTTCATAGGAAAGAAAAAGCAAACCACACCAGAGCACCCGCCAACCACCCACTGTGTGACATCAAGGTGAAACCAGGCGGTCGTGAAGATAATGAACTCCGTCGGTCAAATTTTGTTGACTTCTTCATTTTTGTTTTTGGCTCAACATCATTTGAATTAATTTCAAAACACTTCTCTGTTTTAATTTTGTCTTAATTGTGTTGAAAAACAGTGATAAAAGGCACAAAAATGTAAATTTGTTTTCTCCAAGCATACTCAATCTTTGGAAGTCACCAAACTTTGGCGCCATTTTTACGTTGATATTACCTCTGACATCTAATGACGCACAACTCGTTCAACCGCAAAGTATCTTGACTTATTTTCAAGATAGTTTTATTTTTTTGTGGAAAAATCAAAAGTATGACAAATTGTTAATAAGCTTTAAGATAATATCAATAGCTCCATATGCCCCCAAACAGACCAGCGTCTTATTCCACTTCCGGTTCCTCCTCCTCTTCCTACTTCTCCATCTCTTCAAGTTCCTTTTCAGCTACTCATCACAATTGCTTGCTCCTCCCCTTTTATTCGTCCTTGTCATCTCTCTTCTCCTTCCCTGCGTTCTATTCCATTTTCCGCAGCTTTATTGAACGAGTGTCTGCACCTGAACTCTCACACTAAAAGCCACTGGCATCTGGTGTGTAGTGGTTGGGTGCTTCGTTGTAGCACCCAGAAGACATGAGTTTGATTCCCGTATGGGGGAGAATTTTTATCGAGTATATCAGTCTTTATGTTGGGACGTTTCATTCCTCTCAGCATGGGCTGACAGGCGTTGTCAAAGCCTACCTCCAAAATGATCTAAATTATGTTAATGGGGATGTAAAAAACAAGTACGAGTACATTAAAAAAACACAAAACACTAAGGCCATTGTGTTCACAATATTTTTATTTTCATGCATACAATCTCACTGAAAGTCAACAGATCAGATGCTTTAACAAGTGTCAAGAATACAGCTTAGTCGTATAGAATGCTCATTTTCTATGTCATAGTTCTTTACACATTTGAAAAATTGGGTCCTTGGAAGGGAACCAAGTGATGGAATTTATTCCTAAAGACGAGCGGTTCATAAACACTATAAGGCTTACATGTTCACCTATCTCTGTTTCGGATTTTTTTTTCTAGACGTCAGAAGTAGAAAGGGAAGAAGATTAGCAAAACCTGGGAACAGCACTTTAGTCGTCCGTCGGCCAGTCTGGGCAGCTCTCGTGGTCCGACAGCTGAAAGTTGCTGGGGTCAATGCCTACCTGAGAAAGGCGCTCGTGAATTTCGTCCAGATTGGCAGGAGCCTCAGCCTTCCTTCTGGTCAACACCCAGCCCGTCTCTGAGGAGCAGCAAAAAGTGAGCTACAAATCTAGGGACATACAGGGAAAAACCAACCCACCCCCCCTCC